AATGCTATGCGTAATACTGAAGTAAATACTTTCTTTTTAAACAGAGCTGGCAGACAGGTAGGCACAAATGAAGATGAAGAAAAACAACCAAAGGAAAGTTATTCACTGTAGGGATGTACATACATACACACACACACACACACAAAACCCTCAAAAGAGATATAGCTATAAGTCCAGAAATCAGAGGAAGGCAGTCCTCTATACTATTTACTTCACTATGAGCCAGCTACAACGAGTGGCTGCTGTCCTGTTGTAGGGTAAGAACATTCACTCCCTACAGCTTTTGACAGTATCACATGAATGGAGCTTGGAGACAAACCCATCTTTATTTAGAACCTTTCTGCAACACATCTTTGTCACAGTGTCAAGAAAAAACAGTATTTGAAAGAAATTAAGCTCTAAGGTGCACTGGCATAAAAATCAGGACAGTGCTGGTGTGAAAGCAGATAGTATTTGTAGATAAATAAGAGATGGAAACACTGTTCTTGAGCAGCAGACAGAAACCTTCACCGTAAGAAATATAGTATCATCTCTATAGAAGTAGCAGTAATAACAATTTAAATGCAGAGTTTTAAGCAAAGCTGTAAAGAACTAACACATACATGAATCTCTCTTCAAATGAAACAAGAAATAAGTGTACCTCCCTTACTAAATATGTGGCAACGCTCTAAAGAAGATGCATTGTGTTCTGTGTGTGAGGGAGAGGGAAATGTCTTTTTTTTTTTCTTCTGTGGCCACCATAAAATGCTTTAAAGCTCAAGATTTTGTATGTATCTGCTGAGTTTGCTATGGTAGTCATAACTAAAAATGATGTTAGAATATTTGAGGTTGTTACACATGGGCTTGAAACCACTTCTAAATAGTAGTAGTTACGCCAATGTTAAGTTTCTGCTTTTTTGAAATAAGTTAATTATGCTTGTTAAGGTGTGGCTCCACATAGCATAATAATGCACAGTATAGTTACAACGTGAAACATGCATATGCATTATAAATATGCACACCAAGTAAGTGGTAAATGCAACTCAGTAATCAGACAGAAATGGCTGTATTGCCAAGTATATATTTTCAGAGAAATTGGATAGTGACAGATATTTAATAAGAAAAAAAGATTAGTTGTATGAGGTGGAAAAAGAGAAGTTTGATTATCTGACTGCCACATATTTGTGATGGTATTAACTGCCTGTATCATTGTTTCTCTAAATACCCTCCCCCAAACCATAGCAGCTATTTGAGCCACTGAATTCTGGCACTCTGTATGAGACTAGGCTATAAACCCAGTTATATAAATTGAGCAAGTCAAGGTATGAAATAGGAATCTGAAGAAGAAAGCGTGTGCCTGGAATGGCATCTTTTCTGCAGCTATGTCACTGATGAAATAAAGGTATTACCACTTCCTATTTCATTAATATACTAATATAAAATTTAATTCTTACACTAATGTAACACACTAAAGCCCAGAAATTAAAGAGGTATCAATGCTTATTTTTAACAAAACTTAAAATAAACATAAAATAAAGAGTCTGTGTCTTCAAAAATAAACAAATACTCTTTTGACAAGCAAGTATTGATAACTGTACTCAGTTTCATTCTCAGCTAAATAATAGTCCTGTCAATTTAAAAATCAAATGCATTCAGTTCTTGCTTAACAATCTAAGGGAAAAGAAGCATTAATATCAGGAGAGAAGTCAAGGAGAAATGTTTGCAAGGATAAAATGAACATATAAGCAGAATTAGTTACATCTAGTAGGTGGAGAAAAAGATGTATCTAGAAATTGTATCAAAATGCAGCAACAACATCCACAGAGGTCTGAGGGACACAGTTCTCAATACATTAGGTGAGTATAATGTAAAGTGAAATGAGATTTTCCCTTACTACATACATAGCTTACTTAATGAACAATACTGTCATTCTGAATACACCTTTTGTAGTATGCAGCTTAGGGGGAAAAAAAAAACCAAAACCAAACCTTCAGCAAAACAAATCAAACTGAGGTCTTTTGCACAGAGGCAATATCAGCACAAGTATTTACTACTGGCTAGATGAGCTATAATTCCAGAATCAAAACACAGGTAACATTAGTATTAGGGACTTAAAATACAGGCTACCTGAGTATGCTAGCTGGACAGGTGAATCATACGCTTCAGGACATTCATGTGGTTTGGTTCTGGCATAAAAATATATTGTTCAGGGTGGGGTTGGGGAAGGAAAAACATATTTTGGAGATGGAAATTAAAAGAAACTTTTGGTTGATATTGTCAAAACCAAAAAAATTCCACAGTAATTACACCAAAGTGATGCACACTTATTTTAATTAATTTTAAAGAACTGCACGTCCTACACTTCACACACTCTCCTTTTATGGGGAAGTTTCCCAAAGAGCAGAAAAAAATCCTATCCTTCAGTACAGTTTTTGAGAAAAGACAGAATGAAATATTTTGAAATACACTTCAGGGAAAGCTTGTACTGGCAAAAAATGCCAAGTGATCAGAAGTCTCTTGTCCTGCAGCTTCCATGATTCCTCAAGTCAAGAACAAAATAGGGCTTGACAACAAAATTAGGGTCAGTGTATGAGTCACATTGCGGCCAATTACATATATGAACTGCATATAATTTCTTCCTAATGTTTCTGACAGGGCTATTTTTAAGCTATTATAACTACCACCTTCTGGTAACAATGCACTAAAAAATATGTTTGTACAATTAACAAAACAAGAAAGAAAGGGGACCGCTACCCTTCCTTTCTTTAATGCATCTGAAACAGTTACATGAATCAGAAAATGTTATGAGTGTTCAGATAAATTTTGAAGAACAAAATGCTAGAACACTCAGTATAGCAAAAGGGAATTCCAGATACAACATCAGAAAGATAATGGTTCCTTAAAACATCTTACTTGGCTCCTGGGGGTTGTGCACACTGTATCAGCTGGGCCAACAGCACCTCTTTGACTGTGCCCACTCCCCCATAGCTTTGATCCCCCTTTTTGTGTTCCTGCAAGACTGCGTAAGAACCAACTGCCCATAAAGGCTTACTCTGCGTAGATGCTAGAACACAGGTACCCAAAACACCTCAGATTTTTGATTCTAGCAAGTAACCGTCCCTTTTCCTTTGAATAATTCTCAGCAACTTGCACAGAATCTTTCAAAAATGGAGGAAAGAAAGAAGATTTTAACAAAAAAAGGGAAATGTATTCTTATTCTAATCAGATTATGTCTGACTGGTATCCCAAACAAACTGGTAAATGTATGCGAAGAGATATGGAAATGTTTCACTGACCAGATAATCCCAGAGTTGTTTAGTCTGCCTTTGCTCTAATTGAGATAACCTCAAACTATTTTCCAAAGGAGTGTTTTGGCTTAAAGCAGCAGTGCTGTTCTGAAATTAAACTTACGGCCAACCCCACTTAACCAGACACTGTGCTAGTTTGCAGAAGAGTCTCAGTGTGCACAGACTAGTTTTCTTTTAGAAGGAAGTAACCATGAAGCTCCCATGCAAGTATGCACCGAACATGCTCTAACACTTCACATCTCCATTACAGTCTGAATGGATGACTAATCCTTTGGACAGCTTTTTAAGTCTGATCTGACACAAAAAATAGTCCTGCTTTGAGCAGGGACTGGACTAGAAGACTTCCAGAGATACCTTTTAGTGAGTTATTTTATGTTTGTATGGAAAATACCAAAACTGCACAGAGTTCCAATGCAGACACCATGGCATTAACTGATTTGATCTGCTCCTGCTGTTTCAAATTATTTGCTAATATAAACATAGATTTACATGTCCAATAATTCTTACTTACCAGCTTCACATTCTAATTTAATATAACACAAATTATCCGGGATACTAAGGAAGTCTTCTGTGACAGTATAGATCTCTGCAGGTTTCTTCTTGCAAAGGTAAGATTAACCTGTGCGATTCTCATTATTGTCAAAGCTAGACTGCTGCAGAATTCGACTGCTGCAGAACTCAAGTTACCTTCTTTTAAGTTAGTGCAGATATTTGCACACCACACTGATAAATGCAGTTAATATGCTGCCTGTGTTACACAGGATGAGGAACTAGAAAATCATAATGACATGTACAACCTGAAAAAAAACCCCCGTCAATCATTAAGTGGTGGAAATTAGCTTTAAGCTTGATATTATCATCCTCTCACAGTGGTTAATGATATCCATTATAAACCAGAATTAATTCCAATTTATCTGCATATTCATTAGCAGCTCAGTATACAGCCTCTCATCTTCAGCTATGTGATGATTTTAAAATACACTCAGTGCTGTCATCATGATTCTACTGCCTCAATATGAAGATGTACTTCTTATTTTGTCCTTCTCAAAAATGGTAGGAAAAAAATCTAAGAGAGAAAATGCAAAGAACTAAAAGAAAATTGAAGAGTTATTCAAAAGACTAATACAGAAGAAGGTGAACTGAGATGATCTGTGCAAGTAAAAGAACAGATTACAACCATGTGGTCTCAACTTTCCCAGAATCATAATGAAGTGAGAAGGCTTCTATGCCTGACATCTAAGTATTTTCACTTAAATCTTATTTCCTAAGAAAATTAAATTTATAAGATATTTTCTCTTTCCACCCATTCATCCAAAATAATTTGTCAACCTTCATACAGATTCAGTTAACTTTGTTAAGAAGCAGAAGTCTTGCTAATTAGCAATTTTTTAAAATCTTCCTCAATAAAAAAAAGAAGAAAAAAGAAAAAAAATAGGAAAAAAAAAAAAAGAAGAGACCTCCACAACAGTACCTCAGCCATGTGTTGAAGTGTGAGTGAGAAAGCAGACACTGTGGGTATTTGTGTGAGGAATAGTGAAAGACGAAGTCTTTACAATAAGAATATGCAAGCAAGCTGACAAAACTCCCTTGGAAGCTATGTCTCCTTAGTTCTACTGCTCATAGAATAATTTCTTTACCGAGTTCACTGCTGCTGCAACAGGAATAAATATTTGTATCTTAATTAGCTAGAAAAATCCAGACAGTGAATCCTACCACATCTGTTCCATGTCTTCTTTCCAGCAGAAGTCGGAAAATATTAGCTGTAATCTTGTTATCTTGGACACCTTGTCCAAGGCCACGGTTGTCATCCTGCATAAGTCGACGATCCATGATAACTTCCAACTGACCTGAAAGAGGAATACAAGGATTATACTGGTAACAAGAATATGTAAAACTTCTATTAAAAATAAGAAAAATACCCTGAAATATAACTTATAAAGAATCACAATTTTCCTCTTGCATATAGAAGAGTAATAGCAGATAAATATTGTTAGGACAGATTATGCAAACAGTTAGTAACTTCAGGTTTTGGCTGTTTATAACCTTCCAAAAAAATTTTACAAGCCTTTCAGAAGAAGGTCCTGCAAATTTTTAACAGAAGAGCCTAAATAGAAAGTTCAGCATGAAAAGTTATTACTGTTAACTATTATTTGTAACAAGGACTTGGCACATCAAGCGAAGAGGAGTATCATCCCAAGTAGCTGCAGCTGTATGGAGAGACCTTCTGTAGAGGAAGTCTTCATCTTACACTCAATAAAAGAGTGCACCTCCCAAATATATTTTTTTTCCTTTTTTTTGTTTTTGTTTTACAGTTGGAGGCAGAAGTAAAAACAGGTAGGCAACATGAGTATATAAATACAATCACCTCTTCTTGTAAGGGTATTTTCATTTGTGGGAGTATGAAAGAACTTTGCACCAGATGAACACAATACGAAGTTCTGAGTTTATACTGAAATGGCATTGCCATTCAGAATAGCTCTTTAAGTGTGATGTTAAATCATAAATAGCCTTACGGAAGATAAATTTCATATCTTTTCAAGTTTATACCTCCAGAGGGAAACCAGTTCAGGGCATGTAATTAAGGCTGCTACAGTTTTTGTACACTGAAACTTCAAGCAAGTGTACTTGTTTCCTAAATAAAACTGGTAGACTGAAGTACTTGTTTCTTAAATAAGAAATGCACAATTTAAGCTACTAGAAAAGGCTGTTTAGTAAGGCGGTCTCTTTTATACTCCTTCAGCATTCTACAAATACTTATCAAATTTTCCTAAATACTTGTTCTTCCCTTCCATCAAGTTAAAAAAAAATATTTTGTGTATCCAGGACAGAAGTGAGCTGGTTATGAGTAAGAAAGAAACTACCATTTTTAAGTAAGGTATCAGGCTAAGATTGCGCCTCAAATCAATGGTCTCTATGGAACATGGAATGAGAGTTAACAAACTGCTCTATATTAATGAACTGGTCTCTAATCCAAGAATGAGGAGTGAGAAGTAATGAGCTGTTCATATAAATCTTAGGTGGTTGGTTACGCCTTGAGACAGTCTCAGACTCAGATACATAGCTACTGAAGGCACTTGCCTAAACCTAAACTGTAATGTTTTTTAATTTTCTTCCAGGATCCCTTTGAGATCCTGAAGGGCCTTCAAAAGAAGTGTCATGAAACATATGACTTTCAGCAGCCACAAAACTTTCAGCTTCATTTTTGTTCTCCTTTAAGAAGTCCAACATGCCCTCAGGACAAAGGTAATAAACACAATCTTTTAATGAAATATTACCTAATGATAACAAATCAGATTAATACATTCTCTTTTTTTTTTTTTTTTTAGTGGGAACAGAGTAAATATTAGCTCTTAATTATCTCTTAACCTTGAGTGACATAACAGAGTTTGCAAAAGAGTGATGAAGTTAAGAAATTAATGCCATGACCAGATATGGGATACGTCTTTTGCGCTTTTATTTAACTGGAGCAGGGGAAAACCCTCTAATCTCCTCTGACTGGGTTGAAACAAATGCTTACAGAAAGCCAGTTTCTCCCTGATACTTAACTGCAATACATCAAAAAGCGCTAGACCTAACTTCCCAAGCTCGAATACAGAGAATGGGGGGGGGTGTCTCTGTGGATTTAGAGGTTGGGTTATTTTGTGATGTAGAGACAATGATTATTAAAGAACAAATGCAGACAAATTACAAGGTAACGGAGCCTCTGCACACTAACTTAGTCTCCAATACTTATGTAATGAGCGCCTACAAACGTTTGGTGGTGTCAAGTTCATTCACAAGATCAGGCCAAAGGGAATTTGGTTTCTACCAGTGGGAAGCATGAAAAAATGCAGTTTAGGTCTTGTGTCAGGCGGTCTTGGAACAAAAGGCTGGTATTTTCCACTATGGCTTTGTTAAAGCATCTGTCTATAGGCCAGTCTTAACTCTTTGCCCTAAAATGAATGAGGTTTGCTAATACTGCCATCAATCTAGTACAGTATCCACCTTTTTTCAGAAGAAACTTTAATGTAACATTTTTATGAAAAGAAACTGGAAAGTAGGTTTTGGCAGAGTTTCCGATGAGCTTTTTTTCATTCCATTGTTTATCAAACCCATGTAAATTTAAACTCACAATACATTACAGAATTATACATCTTAAACTATGAGTTATATACCTTATTTTGCCATCTACTTGCTAGCTTTACTTGAATGCCTCCTCGTTCTGGCAGCAGTCTAGACTGAACAACTGACCTCTGTTTCCATCCCTCCAGGCCATTCATCACAGCCTTCTCTGCTGTGAGGGACAAGACTGCGTCCCTTTTGGAATTCTTAATACGAATTGATTTTGCTTGTCAACATATTCATCATCTCTTTCAAAGTACTCCGTTAAATTTGTGAGGTATGATTTTGCTTCAGAAGTATGTTGATTCTTATCCAGGGTCATTTTTATCCTTTAATTCACTAATTCTAGTCTTCAAAAAAGCTACTGTGGTTTTCCCTGACAGGGATATTAGGTTATACTGTGTATACCTTAAGACTAAGTGCTTTCCACCCTAAATCAAACAAACAAACAAAAAAAAATCAAAAGCATGGTCATCATCACATTATCCACCTTAAGCCCTCTGCTACCAGAGCAGTACAAAAGAGAACAAACCACTTAGTTTTGCTATGTCATCCTTGAGTTCCATCAGAGTTCTTGACTGAAAAATACCTGGTTCTGACAATTATTGCTAGTTTTGTCTTTTTCATAATGTCTTCCCTCTGTCTCTAGTTTGAGACAGCTCCTCCAATGAAGATGACAGGATGTCATGTGGGAACAACCTCTACTTCGCCCCTTATGAACATACTCTAAAACTTGCCAGAGTTGGAGAAACATATTTCTTTTCTTCAAACACTAGTAGGTATGGTAATCTCTAAATGAACTATTTCAGACAGTCATGCAGGATAGACCTTTATAACATCTATCATCTTATACTTACCGTTTTTCAAGCTTGCAACACCCAGAGACTGAGCTGAATGAAGTGTCAAACGAACACCAACATCTTGGATATAAGCCATTGTAGTCATAGGATAGATATTTGCTTGAAGAGGCAATTTGCTCATCGTCAGTCTGGGCTGGATCTGCAGTATGAACACGAACTTCAATAAAATACATTCTTTTTATGCATTTAAATTTCAAAGACCTTTTCAGACGTTTATCCCATGTGCTTTAGAAGCACTGATTGACAACCGGCACCAAAGCATTCACTCAACTGTATTATTTAGCTTTTTGGAGATTTGTGGCTAAAATTACCGCTTTGGAAATGATAACTTCAATGTACTTTTAGATCAAAGAATATTTAAAAAAACCTGAAAGATTCATCAAGGGAACCTATAAAAAAAGGAATAATCACAGTTATAGAATGAGAGAAAATTTTTTTCTCCTCTAGAGAGCAACCAGTGAATAGATTCAAGGTAGCAGAAAAGGAATTGTTGGTTTATAATGGGAACTTATTAAAGTGCTAGTGGAATTCTTGAATGGTACATGACAAATGAGTAGTAGTATTAGAATTATTTTCATGCTGAAATATTCACTTTACTGTCTCCAGCAAAATGCAGTACTATGCACTAACTGGAAAAACAGTAGTGTCTTACTCAGCAGGTATGGCTTTCAATATATTTGCAAAACTATTTTTAGCAAGGAACGAAGGTAAGGAAAAGATATTTTTCTTTCTCTTGAGTGTGTTGCAGAGTCCACATTAAGAAAATAGTCACACTATATTTCACGAAATGCATTATCAATAGAACAAGTTATTTACACTCCAAAAATACATCACTTATTTCCACCACAACAGCAAGCAGTTGTTCTCTAGATCTGAGTTGCTGGACCTTACACACATCTAGCATTGTGCTACCCAATCTAATTAAACAGACAGAGCAGAGGGGAAAAAGACATGCACATATACAAGCAACTACATGATGGTTTGTCATAACTTGCTGTATTACAATTCTGATGTTAAAAAGGATATAATGGAATATTTAACAAACTCCTGGAAAGAAAATAGTTGCTACTTTATCTGGTCTAAGTCAAATTTTATAACAGATATATTTTTAAAGCTTTTCTCCTTTTAAATGATTAGCAGAGTTTAACATGAGTTTTATTAGTATGACTCAAACTTTTTACAATCTGAATTATTAAGACAGTTAAAAACCGAGACCCTAGGCTTTTATAATTAATAGACAATTATTACCTGATACCCATTAAGATCAGTATAGAATCGATTTTGACTGTTTATGTCGGATGAAATTCTCATTGCAAGCTCACGATTATATTCTCCTCTAATATCCACAATATTGGAAACTTCAAGAGACTGGCCTTCCAAACCTACATGAAAAGATACATTTAAAATCTCAATTTTTAAAAGCGATTCCCACATGTATAAGAATGACTCTGCTCCCAGAACGCAGTGATCTAGTTTTCCCCTACTAGTTTTCCTTTGTTATATCTAACCAGGTATTTGAAGCCAGTTCAGTTATGTACCGTATGACACTGCAGCACTTTTAATTCAGTACTCATTGAACAGACAGTCTGAAGCCTTCACTGAAGTAGAGCAGAAGCAATTCATGATAAGAACCAACATGGCCTCTGGTACATCAGTAGGAAACAGCACACAACTGTTAAGCGCTGTCTTTGACAGCGGCTAACATGCTGGAGCAAGACCTAGCCATTCATTTCTCCCCTTGACTCTGATGCAGCTCTAGCCATTCACAGACAAGAAGGAAGTTACCAGCTTCTTGACAGCAACTGTTCCACTAAGCAGGAAACTGGTCACCTGTTTTAACCAAAACAGGGAGAATCTTCCTTAAGGACAGTGAATTAAGAAACCGCACACTGATATAACCACAACAAGGACACTACCCTTTGTTGACAGGGAAAAGATGCCTATTTATTAAAAGAAGGATTAAGTGTCTGAAAATGCAGACAGATGTTCAGTGATTTTTTTTTTTCCTACAGTGCCTTGTGCTGAAAATTAAATACCTTTAATAATAACTTGACCTTTTCAAACAGTTTGAGACACGGTTTGGACTGGAATCATACCATCATTCAGCATGACCACTTCTACCCTTTCTGTAGACTAATGGGACTAACAAATGTGAAAAGACTTTCACCAAGCAGAACAGATTTCTCTTTGTAGTGAGATGAAATTACATTGTGCCTGTCTGACAGGTTGTAAGCAGAAGATGGGAGAAAGTGAGGGGCTGATTAACCAACTTAGCCCTTTAAAACTTGAAGACAGTATTTAAAAATCTTAGATACTAAATACTTCGGGTTTTTTTTTTTCCCAGCAGTTCACTGTATGTCAACTCACAAGACTCAGAGGCATGCTCATCAGTTTGGGCTCCTGAACTGTAGAATCTTTTGCTGAAGGACAGAATATATCTTTGAATAAAATTCCTAGGTTCTTAAGCACACAGGCAGAGGTTAGCACAATCTCTTTCTACACATATAGTGTTCAAAATTTTTTAGCACTTCTTTTTGAGAGCATGTTGGAATAGTTTCCTTAAGAAGGTCTTTATTTTCTCAAGTTCTAAAACAAACACTCTGAGCCTTTACACAGTAGAATGCTGAAAAGTGCCTGCCTGCTTCAATTTTTATGCTATTATTTAGTATTTACAATGCAGTCAGGGTTGTAATTTTGTCACCTGAATGAAGAGGATGTCAAGCTCTGTATTTGTTTCTTCATCTTTTTGAAAATCTGAATGCTACCTGCAGCAGTACCAGCAACTGTTAAGAAGTTAATATTTATCAATGGCTATTATACTACAGTGCTAAATGAAAAACTTTTGGTTCAGGTAATTACTTCTACTTTCCCAGACCTAGTCTGGAAAAAAGTGGATCTATACACTCCACTTCTGACACTTTTAGTCATAGATTATCCAGCTATTTTAAAGTAGGACTACTAACGCACAGATATACTGAACAAGGATACAATATTTTAGTTTACAGTTTTAAAATGACCAGAGCATGAATTACTCTCAGCTCTTTTCTACTCCATAATTTGAGTTAATACAAAAATACAATTACAAAGATAATGAAACATAAGAAGCTTCTGATAAAAAGATTAACAAAATCATGCTGGTATCAAAACCAAATGAAAGCAGAAAAAGTTAAAAATCACTTCTTGGTCAATTCCAGAACAGAGTTGTCAAGCCAGAGTATTTTTTGCTCAACATCAACAGAATTCTGAAGCCAAAAGTGGGAAAAGCAGTGTTTTACCAAAAATGCTGAAGAAGCTGCAGGACTCGGAAGTACTGTCCAACAGTTGTATTAGCCACACAATTGGGCTTTCCAACCCCAGCAAGCAGGTTGGTTACAACAAGAGTATTGTGTCTTTATTTAAAAACAAAATGTATGTATACACATATGTATTTCTCTCCACATACTTTGTTACTGTACATATCTAGTAAGACTTCAAGATACCTTCTTTTAATTGAAGCAATGCTATATAAATAATTTCCCTTACAAAGCCCAGGAAATAGACCTCAGCAAAATAATGATGCAAATTCACAAATTTTTAAACTTTGATAAAGGCCATTTCACATGAAGAAATTAAAATAAAAACACACCATAAAATTAAACAGAGAAAATATATAAAATAATTGCATCATTTTTCCTTGTAAAAGCTGGGAACATGCCACAGGACTTCATCATGATGACTGGATACAGTAACGGTGTAAGTATTGAAACAGTGCGATGAATTAAAAATTTACAAAAAAAAGAAAAAAATAGATATTGCACTTAAAATGAAAGATAATCTTGTGTTAAGAATTGGCAAGCAAGCTGTTTTCAATGACAGCTCATTTCCTGCAAAGTGTGAAATGGAAGTATAATACTTCTGGTAGGCACTTACTAATGAATTAATGAAAGGGGAGTATTACAAAGATTCCATTTAAAAAAATCAAACAACCTCACCCTAACCAAAAGAGAGCCTTTTCAGGTTTTTTCCCCTCCCCTTCACTACAATAAACATCCTCATTATATAAGTTCCCTCATTGCTAAGAAGTATAATTTACTGAAACCCACATAGCAAAGTGTTGTGGTTTAACCTGGCCGGCAACTCAGCACCACGCAGCTGCTTGCTCACTCCCCCCTCCCACAGTGGGATGGGGGAGAGAATCGGGAAGGAGAAAAAAGGTTAGAGCCATGGGCTGAGATAAATACAGCTTAATAAGGGAAAACAATAATAATAGTAATAATGAGAATGGTAACAGAATATACAAAACGAACGATGCCCAATGGAATTGCTCACCACCCGCCGACTGATGCCCAGGCTGTCCAGAGCCGCGATCACTCCCCAAGCCATGATCACTCTGTCCGAGCAGCGACCAGTCCCCAAGCAGCGATCAGTCTCCCCATGACCGACTGACTAACTCCCCCCGAGCATGACGTTATATGGTATGGAATAGCTCTTTGGTCAGTTTGGGTTAGCTGTCCTGACTGTGCTCCCTCCCAGCTTGTTATGCACCTGGGTGAGCAGGAGAAGCTCAAAAAGTCCTTGAGTAGTCTGAGCACTACTTGGCAACAACTAAAAATATCAGTGTGTTATCAACATTCTTCTAGTACTAAATCCAAAACACTGTACTATGCTAGCTTCTATGAAGAAAATTAACTCTATCCCAGCCAAAACCCGGACACAAAGTAACTTTCTTTTCATGTTTAGTACATCTTGACCCCTTGACAGACCTCCAGAGGAGGGCAACAAGGATGTCAGTGGCTTGATGTCCGGATGGAGACCGGTGACGAGTGGTGTCCCTCAGGGGTCCGTGCTGGGACCGGTGCTGTTTAATGTTTTCATCAATGACTTAGACAGCGAGATCGAGTGCACCCTCAGCAAGTTTGCGGATGACACCAAGCTGAGTGGTGCGG